AGAGACAGTCAGCATCGCCCATGGCAGCAGGGTGAAAACAAAGTGCAATGCTCAAGATGCCACTGTGTGTGTGCCTTTCTAGAAGGAGAAGGCATCCTCAGTGCTAGGACAGGTTTACCTCACGACAGGACTTCCACAGGTGCAATCTGCTACAGAGCAAGTCAAGCCTAACAGACAGGGGCGTCCATTCTGGAGAACACAGGCGGTTATGTGTGTAGATGAAATATCCAATCAGCCTGAGTAAGCACATAGTATAATGACAAGAATAATGGAAAACTGGAATTGCTAATGTTGATTCAAATTTAATACTTCAAAAAAAATTCATTGTAGAACTGAATTGAACTGAATTAGAAAGAATAATGAAGATGATTATCTTGGACAGCAAGAGAAATCCTACAGAACCAACCCTCCCTTCCTTTCCTTTCTGATTTTCTTTATTGTTTCTTGTCTTCCTTTCCTCTCCTATCACCCCCCCAGCCCTCCTCCCCACACACTTTTTACAAATGGCCTTTAATATGGGAATGAACTCATCAGTAATAACACTTCACTTTATAAGGTTCTATATATTTTAAATAATTTTGTTAGCTGGGCTTGGTGGCATATGCTCGTAATTCCAGCACTAGGGAGGCTGAGACAGAAGGATTGTTGTGAGTTGGAAGCCAGCCTGGATTACGTAAGTGAATTCAAGACCAGCCTGCCCTACCTAATGAGACCTCGTTGCAAACAAACAAAAAGGCCTGTCTCAAAAATAATTTTGTTATATGTATATTTAACCCCCAGATTAGCTCCCGTCCAGAGTTGCTTTTCCAATCCAGAAACCATAGTAATTGTGTCAATTACAAATTATGACACCCCCTCTTTTCACTAAAATTCTCAAGGATGTTCTAGTCCTAGTTATTTGAATACATTCAGGCTTCCAATTAGGATTCTTATTTATGAGACTGAGAGTCACAAGATAAACCAAAAGGATATTTTGTTTCTTTTTCTTTTATCCGTACTAAATAACTTCCTGAATTTTCTACTGCTATGGTGACGAATCACCACATATTTAGTGACTTAAAATAGCAAATGCATTGTCTTAAAATTGTGCAACACGGAAGAACAAAGCATACCCAGTGTGGCACTGGGGACTGAGCTGCGGCCTCCCCCGGACTCCTGTGAGGAAAGCAGATTCCAGTATGGCTACAGGGCTGGCCCCGGGCATAGGAACTGAGGTTGTGAAGCTGGGGCCTTAGTCCAGTGGAACTCGTGTCCTAAGATGCAGAGGAAGAAAATCTCTCCCTCCCCCTCCCCTCCCCTCCCCCTTCCCTCCCCTCCCCTCCCCCTTCCCTCCCCTCCTCTCCCCTCCCCCTCCCCTCCCCCTTCCCTCCCCTCCCCTCCCCTCCCCCTCCCCCTCCCCTCCCCTCCCCTCCCCCTTCCCTCCCCTCCCCTTCCCTCCCCTCCCCTCCCCCTCCTTTCTCTTTCTCTCTATCTCCACCTCTGCTGATAGTTACTGGACAGCAGTTAGATTTCCAGGACTAAAACCAAGGCATCAGCAGTGCTGTGCTCCTCCTCACAGTCCTTGGGGGTCTGTTCTGCTGCCTCCCCAGACCCTAAAGAGCCTCCCGATTTCCAGGTCTTGCAGCTGCTCCCTGTCTCTGAGCCAGCAGGTGGGTTGGCCCTGTTGACATCTCAGTTCTCTGCCTTCTGCTTCTGCTACTGCTGCCCACACCGAAGGTTCCTGTCACTCCTGCGGGCTCACAGGGGGAACCCGGGAGTCTCCCAACCCTTCGAGCCCTTCATTCCACACCTGCAGCCTTCGCTCCCTTTCCCAGTCATGCGAGGTATTCACAGTCTCTGGGAATTAGGGTGCGGGTATCTTGCAGGCAAGAGGGGATTTATTCTGCCTAATGCAATGAGCAAACTACAAGAAAGATGAAAACGTAGCTGCCCTGTGTTTCAACTTAAAATCTAAAGCAACCCTAGAGAAGGATTTGTGTCAGCCTGGCAAGGGCCACCTTCCGTTCTCCTGGTAAGAGCGGGTCGGGAGCCAGGCACTATATCATAACCAGCTCCAAAGCAAACCGCGGCTCTGCACTCTGCAGCCAGAGGAGAAGCAGAACCCTGAGAGAAGATCTGGGCCGGATCAGGGCGAGCAGGGAGGCCAAAGCCTGCTGTCCAGTGCGCTGTCCTTCTCTTGGGCCTTGAGGCCTGTTTGCACGCCTCAGTGCCGGGGACACAGCAATGCTAGCCGCCCCTCCTGCCTGCTTTCCTTTCCGGTCTGTCTCAGATCTCACCTTTCAATCTCCCTCACCGCTCATCTTCCCCAGGAGATGTACATTTCTGGATCAGCCGCACCCCACGCTCCTGCGTGAGAGACTCTGCATGGCCCAGGCGCTGTCCCTTCCCGCCGTGCCCCCACTGGATGCCCTCCTAGCTCCTGACTTGGGAAATTCCTCTGGCCCTGGCTGGGCCGGCCTTCCAGGATCCTGTTTCAAGAATTTCTCCAAATGCTTTCCAAAAGCCCAGCATATTTGATTTTGCCGTGGAGAAATTTATGAGCGCCCCATTTCCTTTCCACTCCAAAGCTCATTCCCTGTGATGCAAAAAGACAATAATCGCAATGCCAACCTCCGGGCTGTTTGACTTCTTTCTGCAAGATGGAATTTAATCCTCAAAGGGCATTTTTTTTATTAGGAACTTCTTGGTTGAAAATTAGATTTTCCTAGGAGTGATTTCATAAAATAAAAAAATCAAATTTTGACATATTAAAAACCAAAAAACTAAGTGACTGCCTTGCCACATTTCACTATACCTTATTTTTTTGCAAAACGGAATTTGTCTTAAGATACATTAGTACAGAGGATTAGCATAGAGGATTTTTAGTCTCTGAGTTTACCCTCAGAATGAACTTCTCTAGCTCCATCTAAACTTCACTTTTTATTCTTTTTAGTTCTTCTAAAAATCAAAGGCATTTACAGCCACATAATATTTTTATGGCATAAGACTGTTATTCATATCAATAATTCACTAGGAGAACAGCTTTACTTTTACAGAGAAAAAAATCAGACTAAAGCATTATCTGTCCGTGTTTGCTGCATAGTTTGGGCCAATATTAGCTCTGCAAGTGGATCTGTCACCTTCTCATCGCTGGGGTAACACACTGGCAATTTATAAGAAAAGAGGACAAGGTTTTTGGCTCATGGTTTCAGAGGGTCTATCCCATGGTGGTCTTGTTAGGAGGTGGACACAGCATGGTGGAAGGGCACAGCAGGGAAAGGCTGCTCAGACGGTGGCAGCCGGGAAGCAGCGAGAAGGGGGGGCCAGAGACAGAGTGCAACTCTAGGTGGGCTAATCCACTCATGGGTGTAGCTTTCCTGAGACCCAGTCACCTTCCTAATTGAGATGGGGGGGGGGGAACAGTTAAGATCTAGTCATTGTTTGTACTAAACAATGACTATTAGGTATCTACTAACAGCATACTTTTCTGAACCTCGCTTAAATTACATGGCTATCGTTTGCATCTGGATGACCCCCCAGAGCCTCATGCAGTCATGGGGCAGGCTTCCAGAGTTTGTGCTGCTGGGATTAAGGGTGTGAGTGCTACACTCACCTAGGGTGGAGAGTCTGCGTTCAGTGTAAGGGAGGAAAAGAGGCTTCTTCTCTCTCTCTGTGCTCCTGTTTCTGTTGCTGTCATCTGCTGCCATGAACTGTTGCCCCTGTGCCATGCCACCCTGCGCTGGAGCCGGCTGACTATGGAATGAAACCTCCACAAACAATGAACTAAATAAACCTTTCCTTTTTAACTTTGGGTATTGGGTATTTTGTCTCAGCAATGAGAGAGCAGTACTTAAAACATACACGAATGTGATAAAAAGGCTGATTTGTTAATTTATTTGTTTGTTTGTTTTGAGTTTGGAAAAATTTGCTGCACCAAGAAATCATCTGACATTTGCAAATCTTTTTTGCAAAGGTATTTTTGGCTCCTTAAACTGCTGGCCTGCTGACTATTCCAGCTTGTAAAGGTGTAGCTTGCACCTACAGCTTTGCGAAGCTTTTCCAGCTGAAGCGCTCCAGGGCCCTTTCCTAGACTTCTTTCTGTGTCACTCACATTCTTCATCTGGGCTTTGTTATCATCTCAATGGCTTCATGCCCCTCTTGTGTGCGGAAGCCTTTTAAGTAGAGAGCTCAGGCTGGCCCTGACATCCGCTCTGGCAGTGACCCTCACGTAGACAGCAGCACCCACAGCCCAGGGCACCTCATTCTCCATCTCCAGTGTGAAAGTGGGGTCTCCTCCCTGCGCACCTGGGCCCCCGGGGCTCAGAGTGGCTCCAGCATCTACCCAGCTCTGACATGAGACAGCAGGTGCTCATCCTAGATACTTTTCTTTTCCTTATATTTCACTTCTGATCTAGTTTTGTGTCAGTGTAACTCAAACATCTCCACAGCTCACATGCTCCCTGGACCTCCTACATCAACCGCATCTGGCACCAGGCTGTGATTCTTCAGCCAGAAAATCTAATAAAATCAGTGTTCTCCTCAAAACTTTTTCTAGTAAAGGGAAGAACAAACATCTGCCCATGTTCCTAGAATAAAATTTAAAATCTCGTATATCACCTACAGAATGATTGTTCCCTAAATCTCACCCTTCATCTTAGTACTTTTTTTCTAAATGTCAGCTTCCCAACCATGCCTGCTTTCTTTACATCTTGAATACATTGTAGAATATCCAACCTCAGGACCTTTGCACAGGCTGTTCCCACAGCTCAGAGTTCTCTTTCACCCCTTCATCCTCACACCATGGCTTAAATATCAGTGACTCTTGGAAAATTTGCTCAAAGCCAGGTTTAGATGACAGTCTTCTATCTTGTACTTTCCTTGCTCCAAGCCTTAGGTTACAGTTGAATAATTGGCTGATTATTTGTATACTGCATACTATTTATTGCTTTTCTTAGCCCTCAGGATGGGTTGTATCTGTGTCACCCCAGCTACCACAGTATTGGACGCCATGGGTATTATCATTTTCCAGGATATTAAGCATCTAAGATGTTGCCTCTGTAGAGAATTTGCTTTGCTGTATTACAAGGTTGATTCTAGCATTCATTTTCCACCTCCTGAGTTAATGGACACCCTTAGTCCTATCCTTACTCTCTAGGAGGGTGACAAATGGCCAGATGTCCCCAGGCAGGGCTGCAGCCGTGAGATGGACTTGGAAGGTAGGCTTAGGGGGATTCATGGTCTTCAGGGTGCTGCTGGATAGGGGCCGGTGGTCCCGTCTCCCTCTGAGTTCTTTCTGGCTCCAACACTGCTTTTCTTCTGATCCCAGTGATGTCTGCCGGCCACTGTCCATTCCCTGATAAAAAACAACCAGGTCATGGTTATTACGTTCAAAGAGCTCAGATTGCAGTTATATAAAAAAGTAAAAATGAAGCCTCTGACGGAAACAGCTTCGTGGCCCAAAGAAACTAAACCCTAAACCTGGGAGGCAGTGAGAGAGAGCACCTCCTGGGAGAGGGCAGCGGCCGGGACCCTGAGGGACCCTGCTGGAGGACGAGGAGGGGCAGGGGCCAGGACCTGGAGCTCCTTAGGGTCGCCCTGGAAACCTCTGCACCAAGCTGGCTGGCTCAGGACTTATCTTATAGGCGCTAACAATCAGGAGCCAGGCAGGGTTCAAATTCGGATTTGAATGTGAATACGCAGACTGTGGTGCTGGTGCTTTGACCCTGGACTGAGAGAATGAATGACCTCAGCACGGAAGACACAGACAAAGCCTTTTCCCTCACTTCCTGTTAGCCGCTTATGACAGGTCCTGCAGGGGCATCTCTGAACATGCTGCATACAGGGTGTGGGGACAGGGGTCTGAGGTCATGGGCACAGGACCTCAACACTCTGGATGCAGGGAACCGGGGGCAGCTGTACAGTGCCCAAGACCAAAGGGAGCACTGGAAACGAACAGGTATTTCAGGAGTCACCAGGCTGCAGAATCTTGGGGAAAAAATGATCAGGAAACAGGTGCATGGACCCGTTTTCTTGGGTGAAAGAAAAATTGTCCATTCCAGGACTTTGGCTCCAGTATAGAAGAGGCTGTTAACAAATTAGGGACTAAAGGACAAATTGCTTCTGCTTTCCTTGCCTTGAACACCCCCAACATCTTGGTTTTATATTTTTATTGATTTGTTACTTTTTTTCAGATGTCTGTCTTTCTGTCTGTCTGAGAAAGGAAAGAAAGTAGTAGCTGAAGAGACTAAGGAATATATTTCACATATAAATCGGGGTATTTTTAGAGCCAGCAGATGTTTTTCCAGTAACTCTGCTGTTCGATTCTGGTTTCTGTCTTCGTTGCTGTCCTGATGATTGAACCCAGGGCCTTTGCACTGAGCTGTGACCTCCACTCTTCCTTGTTATTTTTCACTCAGAGGCGGGGTTCACTGGTTCTCGAGTACCCGGGTATATTCTGGGTACTCCGAGGGGGAGGAGGCAGCATGGCCCCTCCTTTTGACAAGGCATTTCCCATATTTCTTAGGGCAGCATTAACTACTCAGACCCTGCTCCCCTCTACACCCCTCAAACCCTCTCCTCACCCCTGGTTGCTCACAGGAAGGAAGTTGTTCTCTGCCGGGCTGAGAGCCAAGACTTCTGCTTCCGCTCTGCGCGTGGCTTCTGCTCCGGATTGAGTAAGGTCCAGCAGCAATCCTGCAGACGCCCCCTTTGGTCCACCGAGGGTGGCAATGCCCTGGAAACTCCAGGCTTGAGGGCAGGGCTGGGACATGACTAAAAAGAGGTAGGACCCAGAAATCCACTCTGGCACGACTCAGGAATGTCCCCGAGATGGCTCAGGGCTGAGTTATTGAGCAGCCGTGACTCAGCCAGTTTCTGCAGCTGTCTGTCTGTGTGTCTGTCTGGGGCGTGTTCCAGGGTGTCAGGGAGAGGGTCAGCCTGGTCTCTGCTGCAGAAGAGGAAAATGAATCTGGTATTCGGAATTCCAGCTCTGAAACAGCAGGGGGCTGGACCCGACTTGAGCTCTGGTCAGCAATGCAAAGCTAAGAGGAGCACGAGTCAGCTGCCTGCCTGCAGCAACCTTGCCAGTGCAGTGGAGCCTGCAGGCACGATGGCTCAGTCGGGGACTTTTGTGCTCTTCCCTGTCTGGATTCTTTAGTAAAGTACCTCGATGTTTACATTTGAAAAATGAGGGAGACTCTTGGCAAAGATGTGACTAGAGACACTCATTTGTTACAGAATAAATACTAAAGGGAGACGGTGGCAGAAGATGGAGACCGGGGTCTTTTTTATAATGGGAATCGGGCAACAAAGTCCAAGTGTGAGTGCCCTGCTTAATTTCACAGGTGAGCAGCTGCACGGCTATCGGAATCCCTGTGCAGGAATCCGTGTGCTGATCGATCGGAGCCGCAGGACCAGAGTGCAGCTGTCTCTGGTGAGAACCTGCTGCCAGTGCCTGGTGTGTTCCTTCTTCCAGCAGATTCCTGTCCTGGAATCCAGAGAACAGCTTCTGACCTCAAAGCTGAGCACAAGCTCCAGCAAGACACCACTGTCCCTAAGTGAGAGGCCTGCTGTCTCCCCAGGCAGAGCATTCTGGCTCAGCCTGAGATGAGATGAAGAACCACAATTGACCCAGAGATCTCTTAGCCCAATGCCAGCCAACTGGTGTCACCCACACCAGCACCCTGGGTTTCTCCTGCATCACAGCAGAGCTGATGGGGAGCCAGGTCCCAGCCCTGCTGTCCACATCCAGCTTGGGGGGCCCGGTCTGCAGCTGGGACCTGTGAGCTGGCGGGACTGCAGTACAGGGTAGGGGTTTCTTGTGATGGTGTCTATGGCCCCTTAGCGATGACAGGAGAGGAGACTGCAGGTTTCTGTGAAAATCGCTCTCTTGCTTTGGGCTGGGGTGATTCTGAATTGTAACGAGCTTTCAATGCTGGCTGCAGGACCCTCTGGGGGTGCACTGAGAGCACCCTGGTCTGCATTTCCCCCACTCTTCTTCCACACCCCAAGTGTCCTCAGGGTCCCTAATACAGCAGGTGGCCTCGGCCTGGAGTCCACTGCTGCTGACCAGACTAAGACAAAGAGAGGAGAATAGCTGTGCTGCCCGAGGTGGAAAACAGATGGCTCGGTGGCCCCCGGGATCCTTAGCAAAGAGAGGAGGAGAAGGGGTGCAGGACAAAGCTGAAGGGCAGGCCCAAGAAGCCAGCTGTTCGCTGGGCCTGGTGGTGCACAGCTGTAACCCCAGCACTCTGGGAGGCTGAGACAGGAAGCCAGAGCAAGCGAGTTAGCAACTCACCAAGATCCTGTCTCAAAATACAAAATAGAAAAGGCTGGGAATGGGGGCTCCATGTGAAGGAAAAGCCTGGGGTTCCATCCCCAGTACAAAAAACAAAAACAAAAACAGCAACAACACAATAGCATCCGGAAGCCTGAAACACGGGGTTTAAACACCATTGAATTTTGACTCTGACAGAAGTCTGACTCTGCTCCTTGGTCCCTGGGGAAACTTGGCAAGGGCTTTTTACTCTGGAAGCCACTGTTTCCCGTCTCCGAGGTGCTGACCCGTAGAAATGCTTCACGTGGGGAACGCAGTTTGGTATTTAAACATGTTTCTTGCAGCGTGCCTTGGAGACGTGATTCCCAACTTGAGGTGATTTTGTTTCCGAAGACACTTTTGCCCATGTCGGAATTGTGCTGTGTCAGCAGCACAACGATGGCAAGACTGCTACCCAGAGAAGGCTGCCCAGTGACCTGCGTCCCCGTGAGGAGCAGGGAGGGGCTCCCCACCCAGCAGAGAGGGCTCTGCCCCAGGAAGCCAGGCATACACTGCTGGAGAGCACCAGCAATTGGGAAGCAAATATATATTTTAATATGTGGCATGATAAAATTATAGTTCATGCCCTAAAAAAACAACATGCTATAACTGGTAATAAATTATTTTGTTGAGTATTTATTGACACTGACAGTGGAGTTATAACCACATAAATCTGTTGCAAGCCTACAATTGTACCAACTCATTCACTGGTGGCCACTGTTTTATTTCGTGTGTATCTGAAGTTCCCAGGATCAGGCACCGGATGAAGATGGGGGGAGTGTAGGCAGATTGCTTTCCTGCAATTCATGTTCCTGTGGAGAACAGGGAGAATGGGAGATAGAGACAGACAGACAGACAGACAGACAGACAGACAGGTAACATACTCTAGGATGCTAACAGGATTAGTAGACAGGGAACTGCCCTCTGAAGAGTGGACACTCTGATTGAGATCTGATCTCCAGGAGTGAACGGTGTTTGGGTCTGGAGCAGAACTGATCCAGAAAGTTTAAAAGAAAAAATAGCAGGAATGGGAAGAGAGGAAGAAATCTCAGTCCATGTGCCAGCCCTGAAGCACAAGGGCGGTCCCCTCGAATCTGGACCCCTGCTCTGTCTGATGAGAGGAAGATGCTCCTCCCAGTCTGTTCCTCAAGGCTGTTCCCATGTCTACATTCCGGATTTTGTGTCTACCCCTCGGATCACTGTGGGAATGACACTTGGTAATGTGTGTCACACGGCAATTGTTCTGTCTTTTAGGGCTGGGGTTTAGCTCAGTGGCACAGCACTGGCCAGGCGCGCGCGCACACACACAAAGTTGTATCTTTTATATTGTGAGCACTTAACAGATACTTTTAATTCAATAAAAGATTGATAGGAAGGGCATATAGATAGAGAGGGAGTTACCGATACACCCCTGTGCGCGGTGAAGCCTGTGTCGCATGACACACAGCACACACTGCTGGGGTTCAGGGGGAGGAAAGGCGGCCTAAAGTGTCTGTAGGGTCCCTGCTGTGCTATGGGTGCCAGAACACTGAGCTCCCGTACGGCATTACACAATGAGTGTTTTACTGATCTGTTCACATTAATTCCCCGGGTGGATGAAGAATGAATAACTGATTAGGTGTGACAAGGAAGTGAGGTGACACAAGGGAGGACAGGGGTGCCTGGACTGGCGGCCAGCAAGGCCAGGATCCCTCTGGGTCCCCGCTGTATATGCACTGGGTTTCCCCAACTTCTCCAGCCACGCTGAGCCTGGGTTTCTATCAGCGAGTGAGTAGAGGAGGTCACAGGATCTCAAGGCTCGTTTCTAAGTCTCGGACTCTATGAACCCATCATTTAGGAACACAAGGTGGTTGGACCAGATTTTGTTTAATCAACTAGAAACACTTTAGTAGATAACACTGATTTCCTTCCAGAAGAAAACTAAAGAAACTTTTTAGACTGGGGACAATGTATGCTTGCAATTTGTATAATACTATATTAATTACCAAACCATAATGGTATAAACTGTTTTCTTTAATAGTAATGTTTAACTTATAGTTTACAGAAAGAAATAAAGAAAGCCAGGCTTTCACAATAAGTAGTTTAAACAGGCGAGCCAGTCACAAAAGGGAACTATAAATACCTCCGGTGGAGAAAGACGAGGCAGACCATACCCCGTGGAGGGGCCTTACATTACCCAGGCTCGTTCCTGATACTGGAAATGGACTCATATGGAATGCTGAATTCAAATGCATGGATCCAAAATTGGCTCACCAATATTTCTAGGTCATACTTAGAGATGCCTCTCCAATCCTGTTACTAATTCCTGAGTTAGAGTGATTTATAGGTACTATTTCATCACACCCAGGAATGAATGGAAGGCGAGGGAGGAACGCCCTGGCTTTGTTCACACCATTTAACTCAATAAAGAACACAAGTCTAATGGTTTATGGAAAGTCACATACAAGTAAGATAAGGGCAGAGTCAGGATCCACTTAGAATCCATTAAAGTGTCGTTGAAGTCACAGATCCACTTCACATGGAAAGGTAATTACACGGCCTGCGATAGAGGGAAATATCCTCACAAGAGGGTGTCTCCGTTTGAGGTCCTCAGGCTACTGACTGCGTGGAAATCTATCCGTAAACATCGTAAGTGCATTCGTTCCTGTTAACACTAAGCTCATTTGCTGAGTGGACGGGCAAGTGCGTCATGTGTGACTTAAACAGGAAGAATTGTGTGGAAGGAGCCAAAGTGCTCCTTCTAGTCATAGAATGAAACCACTTTCTCAAATACGTTATACGATGGCTAGCAAATAACATCCTCCTGCGAAATGTACTTCAAATTAGGAAGACTCCACATGAAGCTGAGAACACCCCACTTAGAAAGGGCTTTGGGGTCTTGCTGAGAAGTTCTGTGGCTCTGGGAGTAAAGGCAGGTGTCGGTGAGGCAGGCTGGGCCCCTCCCTACCATGCACAGTGAATCTCGCTGGACAGTGGTCCAGTGTCTCATCAGTAGTGACCTCTTACAGCAGGCAGAGTCCAGTAGGCCAGGTCTATTGGGAGCAGTTGTATGCACATTGCATTTTTCTTAGGGAATAAATGTCTGAGTGCAAAACAAATTTTACCACTATTAAGGTGAAATAGAGGAACAGTAACTCCAAACAAATCACAGCAGAGGTGGAGAGGATGGAAGGGGAAGGCTGTGTTCAGAATGTGATGGCTCCTTTGAGCTTACATGTTTCCCAAGCTTAGGTTAAAATGGAGTTCAGGGGATTTGTAAAGAGCATCAGTTTGCAACAACAAGGTGTGCAGAGTGAGACCACTCAGGAGCCTGAAACACTGCCGGAAGTCGGAGAGCACAGGCAACGCAGGGCTGTGACAGCAGGCTGGGGAAATCCTTGGCTGGAGAGCAGCAGGAGAAGGCAGCCTGGAGGAGGGAGGTGTGTGTGCTGCTAGCAGCCTCAGGAAGCGCCGGGCTGGAAGCCCCAGTGGCCACGGTGGGAGGCGTGACCACCCGGCTCCCCACAGCTGAACTCGGAATCCTGCTCTCCAGCTCTGCTGTCAAGTCACCTGCCTTAGAGAGCAGCTGTGGTGCAGATGTGGCCACCCTGCCTAAAACCGTCTACATTCTGACATTTCAGGGAGACAAATGCTTGCCAGGCTAGCCCTCTGACCACAGCCCAGAACAGGTCCGACAACCACACAACAGAGAAACTCACAATCATGAATGTGTAGAACCCACCGGAGAGTGGCAGGAAGTCTAATCTCCCGTGAAAAAGGCAAAGTAAACAAATAATTCACAAAAGAGGAGAAAACATGCAAAACGTAGGAGTCCTTGGGTCTTTTAAAGAATGCCACTGTGGAAATCAGTGTGGAGATTCCTCAGAAAACTAGGATTGGAGGTCCCATTCACCCCAGCTATGCCCCTTCTGGGTGTTTTCCCAGAGAACTGAAAACATCACACCACAGTGATATATGTGCACCCGTGTTTACAGAGCACAACTTGCAATAACTAAATCTTGAAACCAACCCAAATGCCCATCAATCAAAGAATGAGTTAAAAAAGACGTGTGATTTTTATACACTAGAGTACTACTCAGAAAGAAAGATAAACTTGACGCTTTTATAGGTAAATGGATGCACCTAGAGATCATACTACTCGTAAATCAGGCTTGCATGAGTAAACATCGTGCTGTCTCCCTCGTCTAAGTAATTGAAAGAGTAAATAAGATCCAAAAAGTACAATGGATATTGTGAAATGTAAGAGGGAAGAAACCTCTCAAAAGGAAAGAACGACTGGTTGAGGGCAAGGAGAAAAACAGGAAGGAAATCTATTTATGTATATTCACAAGCTAGCTAAGGTAACTGGTCATTCTATCAGTTCATTGAAAGGAACAGGCAGGACTTCTACTGTTTGATCAATTTAGCATACCTGTGTTTGGTGATCTGAGCAACTATTTTGAAAATAACAATATGCAATATAACAACCATTGTTAATTTTCTATCGTCTTGTTTTAAAATTCTGTATTATTTTTATTGTTTTTAAATTGTCTTTAAAATTAAAAAAATTCCAAAAATACACGGTATCCTTTAACACAAGAACAGGAGTCTATGAAAAAAGACAGGCACAGACAGCGACTGCCGGAGGGGGAAGTTGCCAGTCTCACATGCAAAGGGCTAAGGGAGCGCTCAGTAGGGGTTGGGAAAAACAGACAAATATCACAGCACTGCAAAGTTTCAGTCCCTCCAAGACAAGGAGGAATTTTAAAAAGAGAGAGGAAACTGGTTAACCACAGAAGCATGATAACCATACTGATATCAGAGTTCTAAACCTCAGAATCGGCCCCCAGGAGAGAAGCTGCAGTGTCTTCAAAGTGGACCTGAACAGGACAGCTGCTGTGACCCCATCAAGTCAAGGGACTCTACATGGCCCCCCACACAGCCTCTCTCAGGAAGCTCTGTAAGTGTGTGTCACAGAAGAACAGGAGGTGAGCAGGCAGGCAGACCAAGCAGACAGACATGGAAGAGGGAGACAGAGAATTCGGCCCTTGAGAATCCCGGGGAACACGCCCCGGGGCTTTGTAGAGTAACCAGCACAGATTGCTGAAGGCAAATGGGTTAGAAAGGCAAGTTATTTCAGCAGGTAGAAAAAAATCAGGCAGGAGGACATACAATAGATTCACAACAACAGCAACAACCAACACGCAACACAGATTACAAAGGAGAAAGAACACCTTGAAATTTAAAGCAAATTGTGATTTACTAACACTAGGTGGAAAAGAACTCTATCACGGTGTACCGCCCTGGTTTCATGTCAGGGTCATTTAGGTTGACCTGAATTTTTTTTTTTTTTAAATCTGTTTGCATTTCAGTTTTATAAGCTAAGCTATAGACGAAGACCAGAATAGGTACCTTTGATCACAGAACACAGTAAAATATAGCCAGCCTTCACAGCACAGAGAAAACGGGCATGAGAGGAGAGCGAGGGAGTGTGAGAAGGGGAAACTGTGGGTGGTCAGGGCGCAGCATCCCACAAAGCGGGCATGCAGGAGATAGCGTCTGCCGCAAGGGACTAGAGATAAAAGTGTGAGAATATAATTTACAGCAAATGAAAACCTAGCAGAAAGTAACAGTCTCGCCCCCACAGGAAAGGAGATAGTGAATCCAAGGTTGTGTGAGGTCTGCTCTTCCCCCAGCATTCCATAAACACA